TCTTATTTATTCCTAGAATCTCTTTATGTGTGAGAATAGTGGTTCCCCTCTGTAGGAGTTTTTTTTTTAACTCCTTTTATATGTTTTGACAACTGTTCTTAATTTTCACTACTCCAAGTTGCATTTTCTCTATATTTCAGTATTTACCTTCAAGTGACAAAAAACCTTTTAAAAACACAACTGTGGTGCCATTATCACACAAATTAGTAACTCCTTAATATAATTCAGTATTTAGTCACTGTTCAAAACTTTCAGATTGTATCAAATTTTTAAAAATAGACCTCATTTGAATCAGGATTGATATAAGGTTCACATTGTGATTAATGATAACTCTTTCATCTCCTTTTGAAAATAATGTCCAAGGGGGCTGGGGATTTAGCTCAGCAGCAAAGCACCTGCCTGGCAAGTGTGAGGTAGTGAGTTCAATTCCCATACTGGAAAAAGAAAATAAAAATAAAAATAAATAAAAATAATGTGTGGGGCTGGAGATGCACCTCATGGTAGAGCACATGCTTAAGGTTTGATCCTTAATCACACAAACACACACACACACACATGCACAATATTTTGTGATTACTGACAACTGTCATATTTTTAAATAACAGTTTATTGATCTAATTCACATGCCATATAATTCATCTGTTTAAAGTGTTCAGTTCAGTGGCTTTTAGTACTTTTACAGAATTGTGCAGTCATCACATCATGGCAATATTTCTGTTTCTCTTGGGTATTGCTAAGAGTACAATCACTGGGTCATACAGTAACTCTAACCACTTGGAAGAACTGCCAGGCTGTTGTCCAAAGTTGCTGTATGATTCTACATTGCCACCATCAGTAAGTCATGGCTCTGGTTTTTCTACTTTCTTGCCAGGACTTACTGTCATCTGACTTTTTTCATTGTGGCCCTCTTGGTGAGTATGAAGTGGTATCTCATTTTGGTTTTTGTTTGCATTTTATTGTTTCATATCTTAAAATATAGGTCTTCACTGGGCATGGTAGTGCATGCCTGCTTAAATTTTTAAAAGAAATAACTTTAGCAATGTTTAACATTTTTAAAATTGTTGCTTTAAAAAAGTAAGGTAAGAAGGACAGAATAAGAATGCTGTGTTTATCTTTCTGAACCATTAAATATTTTACATAATTATGAAACAAAATTAAATTTAAAAATCAATTCCCAAAAATAAACAGTAAAATCAAAGAAATGAACCTGAACACATATCAAGTTGCTAGTATAGCCACATAGTGATTAATTATTTCAAAGAATCTAGAATCACAGAAATGTGTCTCTACCCAGTGAGGTATGTCCTGAGCACAAAGACTTTTCCAAATTTCAGATTGTTTTTCCTAAGCTTGTCAGTTACACTGTTGATATTGTTACTTTGAGGTTATTATGAACATAGTGTGGACAAAGTTTGAAAATTTGCTCACGTCATTGAACTAGAATTTTTAGATAGGAGAAAAGGAAAGAAATATAAGAAAAACAAGGTGAACTACAAACCCCTGTTATGCATTGAATTGATAGAATCAGAATAGTCATGATATAGTATTTTAAACATTTCCTTGCCTGTCCATCAAAAATGTGTACAGTGACCCACCCACAAGAAATGAGCACCCCTAGTGTCTAACTGTGGTATCTACCATCTTCTCACAGAAACAAACCAGAGTTCATTAGAGACCGCAGAGTCAAGGTCTGTGTTGAGACTATGTCACATACACCTGAAGCAACTCGGACTTGATGTCCTAATAAGAAAGCTGTTACTATTAAGCCATGTCGAAAGAACCGAGAGAGCCTGCTTCATAGGTCCCCAGTTTCCAAAAATGGGGTTATTTGAGCATCAATAAGCATAATTATTGACACAAAATGAAATGCATTAAACCCATAAATTTGTATTGGTGTTAGAAATTGTTACCTCTGGAGGATGCAGGGGTGCCCATTCACTATTCAGGAAACTGCAAATAAAATATTTTTTCCAGTCTTTCCTTTACAAACTGTGCCACAAAACAGTCAAATTTTTGATAGGAAAAGCTTCTCTTTATTTCCAGCTAATAAACAGAGGATGAATGATAAACCTGAAAGAAATATTGCCCTTTTGCAAACTCCTACAAAATATGAGTGTAGGCAGTAAACAGCAGAGAGGCAGCCCTGACATCTTGGAAGAATGACCAGCCCTTGTGTGTCTCCTGTCAAAGTACACTATGTTGCCTATGATTTGCAAAACAAATCAGTTCTGCATCTGACCTTAACTCCAAATCAAACTACCAGTTTTCAGGAAATTCAAAAGGAAAGGGATCATGTTTAATGATCCCATAAGAATGCAATGAAGGAGATCTAGAATGTGGAAAATTCTATAGGACAAATTGTCCAATTTCTTCCATAAATAAATTGTAAGAAAGAAAATAGGCAGGAAACTATAGAATGGTACAGAATTGAGAGATTTATGGAATAAATACAATGTGTAGACTTTGTTTGGGTCCTTATTTGAGTAACTGTAAGAAAAAAAATACAAGCGATTTCCCTTATTCTAGCTCCATTTGGCTAGTGTAGGGAGACATCTGGTGGCCATTCTGGTTTTTTTGTTTTGTTTTGTTTTACTTTTTATTATGAAAACTTCAGATTTACAGAAAGGAAACAAAACAGTATACCTCTCCCATCCTCATACTTTACCTTCCACAGTTCTTAACATTTTGCCATTCTAATTTCACTTATACCCCTACTCCCTCTCCATCCCCTCCCATTCGATTATTTTTGAGTCTTTTAAAATAAAATTTATAAGATTTACACATAGCTTAATGCACAAAATTTTAACAATGCATCTTGATGAATAGATACATTCATGTTAACTCACAGGCCTATCAACATATAGAACATTTCCATCACTTTGGAAATATCCTTTTCCTGAAAACCCCCCAGCCAGGCAACAATTGTTCTGATTTTTTCACTGTAGATTAGCTTTGCTTGTCCTCCGACGTTATATAAATGGAATCACACAGTTTGTACTCTTTTGTGTCCGGGTTCTTTCAGTTGGCACAATGTCTGGGAGAGTCATCCATGCTATTACATGTACCCGTTATTCCTCTATTCTTGCTGGCCTCGTTCTATTGTACAGATGTACCACATCCATCCTCCAGTTGATGGATATTTGGATTGTTTCCAGTTCGGAGCCATTATGAATAAAGTTGAGCTTGAGTTGAACATCACATTCAAGTCTTTTTGTGAACAGCTGTTTACATTTCTCTTGTGTAAATACTTAGGAGTGGAGTTGCTGGATCAAAGGATACAGGCATGGTTAATTTCATTAGAAACCATCAGAACTATTCCTGAAGTGGTTGGCTCCCTTTACATTCATGACAGTAATAAATGTGGAGTTCATGCTGCTCCACACCCCTTACCAGAATTTCATACTGTCAGGATTTCCAATTTTAACTCTTCTGGTGGTATATCATTGTGATTTTAATTTGCATTTCCCCAGTGATTAATGATATTGACCATTTTCCTAGGTGTTTATTGACCATTTATCTGTCTTCCCTTGTGAAGGACCCATGAAAATCTTTTGTCCAGATTTATTGGGTTTGTCTTTTTATTATTGATCTGTAAATATCCTTTATTCCAGATTCAAATCCTCTGCAGCTATATATTTGTGAGTATTTTCTGCCAGGCTATGGCTTGCCTATTCATTTGCTTAACAGCATATTTGGATTAAAAGTTTTATATTTGATGAGGAGTAATTTATTTTTTTTCTTTAATCATTATTTCTGTGTGTGCGCTGTCCAAGAACACTTTGCCTTCCTCTGGTTGCTAAGTTATTCCCCTTGTTTTCTTCTAGTAGCGTTACAGATTTTACATTTACACTAGGTCTAAGACACATCTTAAATTTACTTGTATTTCCTTATATACCTCCTATATGTATTTTATTTATATCATATATATGTATACACACATATAGTATAAGGTAGGGCCTGAAATATTTGCTTATGATTATCTGTCTGCACCATCGGTTGAAACTATCTCTGGTCCTATTTTATTTTTCAGTTAGTGAGTCCTCTAGCTTACTTTTTCAAGGTTGTTTTAGCTATTCTAGGACCCTTACCTGTTCACTGGTTCTATTGTCAACTTATTGCCTGTCAGATCCCCAAATTCACCCTTCATGCCTGTTCTGCAATGAATGGAAGTCAAACATTTCTTCTTGAAGGGACAGTGATACTAATTTTGTCACTAGAGGGCGCTGGAGGGACATTACAAAGGCAGGCAGTTTCTCTTCCAGGTTCCCTTTGACCTTCATGGAATACACAAAAATCCGGAAAGCAATTTCTGACTCAAGCTGTCTGGGTTCATATTCTGGTTCTGCATTTTGGAAGATCTTGGACATGGTTTATAGCATCCCCATGCCTCAGTTTCCTGGGCTGTAAAATGGGTATAATAAATAGTACTTACTTCAAAGCCCGAATGAGGATTACATGAGATAATGTAAGTCAAGCCTTTGGAATACGTAGTACCTGACCAGGTAAATGCTGGTTTTCTGTTAACTGCTATTACTGTTATCTTATACACACATGCACACGGTTATACATCACCTGGCACTTGGGGATATAGTCTAAGAAATGCATCACTAGCCCATTCTAGCTTTGTGTGAACATCATAGACCTAGATGGTATAGCCTACAACACACCTGGACTATATATGGTATGGCCTATCTCTCCCAAGCTACATATTTGAATAGCATGTTACTATAATAAATATGCTAGTCAACTGTAACACAACGGCTAAGTATTTATGAGACCAAATAAATCTAAACATAGAAAAGGCACCATAAAAATGCTAATAAAATATACAATAGGAAATTTTTCTAGCTGCCTTGTAATCTCAGTTTTCTACTCTCCTAGGTTTTAGCATCTAGTTATTCCCATTCACTAGACAAGTACTAGAAATTTGGGGATAAACGAGCTGCTGAGGCATGTTCTGTCTCCTGTAGAAAGAAGAGGTGAGGAGGAGGCACATTCGTCTGCACATGGAAGGAGCGCTGACAGCCCGGGACAAGGTTGGGGTGCAGGATTTTGTGCTGTTGGACGCGTACACCAGCGAATCTGCCTTTGTGGACAATCTTCGCAAGCGTTTCAGCGAGAACCTCATCTATGTAACCGAACACATTTCTCTGCTTGTTTTCCTACACTGTTTGTTCCCTTCCTGCTTTTATCAGCCTTGGTGACTGTGAAAGATGTTGCCCTCTTAGGTTAGCCAGGAAGTGGAGGTGTCAAGACGTAAAATTAAATGTGCTTTGGTCATTCATGGTAAAGTTTTTATGACAGTAGGTGATAGAAACTCAATTTAAACTGGCCTAAGCCACAAAAAGAAACTATGCCTTCGGGATTCAGGAACAGATCTAGGGTTTCAGACAATACCCTGAGGACTCTCTCCATCTCTCTGCTTTGCTTTCTTTTGCATTAGTTTCCTTCTTGGGCAGCCTCTTGCCTTTGCAGTAGGATAGTGGTGGCCATCAGGTCCAGGCTGATGTTTTAACAGCTAGTGTTGCTACTGAGAAGGAGCACTTCTGGGAAACAGTTCTAACGTATGTCCTAAAGCTAATATTGGTCAGCTCTGATTGGCCCATCCTGGGTCACGTGCCCCTATTTCAGCCAGTTAGCACTAATCCAATTCCTATTCTGATTGGCCAGACTAAATGACTAGGCCCACCCTTGGAGGTGAGGGTTAAGGTCAGAACCCCACCACTATCACAGGGACTAAGAGCTAGGGAAGAGGGTCCTCAAAGGAATCTGTTGGAAGAGGAGGTAATAAATGCCAGGAAGGCAGAATAAAAGATGTCCCAAGACATTCCATAAATCCTCCAGGGACAAGATCAAAGCACTTCACCAAACTTCTCAGATTGATCTTACTGCATCTAGTAGTGGCCAGTTTTTATGAAATTCTCCATTAATCACCACCTCCTAATTTGATTGGTCAAGTTTCATGGAACTTTCTCCTAGATGAATGTTATGGTGTTTCTGTGTGTCATGGGGCTTGTTAAAATTTTCTTTTAGTTTTTATTGGCCTTTATTTAGAGTCGATTAGAACTGTGCGTGGTGGTGCATGTCTGTTACCTCAGTACTCTATCTGTCTCAAAATTTTTTTAAAAAAACTTTTTTTAACTGTTGGGGACATAGCTCAGTGCAAAGGCCCTGGGTGCAAGCCAAAAAATAAGTAAATTAGAAGATCAGAAGCAGCTTTAAAATATTTGTCTTATGGGTAGATTGTAATAATTCCTATGATTTAATGTATATGTTGAAACCAAGGTTATCAGAAGAAATAAGCAAGAGTATATTCTGTAGTTTAACTTTCTTTTCTTTTTTATTTTAAAGAGAATAAATAATAATAATAATAAAAACATTAGAAACAATACCAAACTTCACAAAACAAGATGATAGGGATTCAACAATGGTTGTTCTATTGCATATTCTCATCTTAAGATTAGTTGTTCTCCCTAGCCTAATTTTCAGGATTACCACCTTTAACTGTATAAACAGAAAAACTCAAATTTTCTGTATAAGCAAAGGAGAAATAATGTGGTATGAAGTATGAACTGGATAATAGGATTGTTAAGACCAAGCTAATAGCTTCCAATTTAAACTGATAGATTACAGGAATTATCTCCCTCACCTAGCGGGGGTCTACTGACTGAAGCAGTGTCTCAGTCAAATACTGAAGCAGTATTTTAGTCAAAATATTCTCCCCTGTTCTGGTTCTGTTTGAGGTTGTGCTGGAGATTAGAGACCTGAGTTGAAGTGATTTTAACATAATCCTCACATAGGCTTTAAAATACATCCAGTTTTTAAAAACACAACAAACTCAGAATCTAAAAACATCAGATATACTTTCAAAGAACGCTTAAATATTTATCTTTCCCATATAAGGTCTTAGAGCTCTTTCTTCAGAAGTGTATTCCAGGAAGTTTTATATTAGTGGTTATATTGCAGATGTAAGTACTTGAAAAACTTGATTATGAGTAGAATTTAACATTGAACTCTAGAGACATAAGAACCAATCATGGAAGGATTTTCCCCAACTTTAGAAGGCTGGTGGGTATATTTGTCCTGCATATGCACTTGATGGCCAGAGACACCTGTGTGAAGCATAAATCACATCCATCACTTCTCCCTTAAAGCCATGTGCTGATGTAACAGTTCAGAGTAGGTATTTGGTTTCAGCGGGGAAGACACTGTCTTTGCTATGCATTGCATTGGAAATAAACCCAGTTCCTCATGGCAGCCCCAGGGCCTGTGTGATAAGAACCTGCTCCCTCTTGACATCCTCCCTTCCCATTCACACACACACACACACACACACACACACACACACACACACACTCATGGCATTAGCCACACTGGCTGTAGTGCAGGCAGCCTTCCACACGTGTCCTGTTAGCCTGGAAGGCCCTTCCTGCTTACTTTGTTCATGACTAGCTCTTCAGCGTTCAAGTCTATACTCAGATATCACTTCCTTATGGAAGCCTTCCAGAAGCCAGTAATTAACATGGCCTCACTCACTCACTCACACCTTCATGACCCTATGTACACCTTTTTTAACCCTTACTGCTTCTTGAAGCTGTCTTGATCCTGTTTGTTTCTCCACCCCCACGAGTTCCATAACAGCAGAGACTTCGCCTGTTGGATTTGTTGTGTTGTAGCTCCAGGCTGAATGAACACCCAAGGATCAGTGTGTGACAGCCATTTGTACCCAGAATGCCTCACTCATGCTGTGGTCCATTCCCCTAGACATACATTGGGACTCTCCTTGTGTCCGTGAATCCATACCAGGAGCTCGGAATCTACACTATGAACCAGATGGAACTCTACCAAGGGGTCAATTTCTTTGAACTGCCACCACATGTGTAAGTAAGGTCATCACCGGGAATATTTTCTGTTTTTTCCTATTATTTCTCTTTTTTTCTATGCCTTTTGCCCTTCTTCCTTCCCATCCACTATTCTATCTGACCTTCTATCCGTCTGTCATCTACCTATTCATCCAAATCTTTGACGCATGTTTATTAACATATTTTTGCATGCTCCTTAAGCCACCTCCTTGTGAAATAAGTCAAAGCAGTAGAAAACATTAGTAGGTCATTCTGGAATCTCAGTTTAAACAAACAAGAGTAGAATCTTTGCGCAACTGCCAAGAAATCTAAAACAGAGGCTAGAGAAGAGCCTTCTCTAGGAAGTGGGTTGCTATAGTGCCATCTACTGGTGCCTCTGGGTCATGGTGGCTAACGTGAATGGCCACTGGTAGAAATTTAGTGGGGCTACAGAACCTTGAGATGAGCAATTTCCTGCTTAGCCTATATAATGCAGGCTTTGCTGGATTTGCCGTTCCCTCCTTGCTTGACTTCTGAGCTAATATTTAGAGTTTCCCCTCAATGTCCCCGTGACTTACCTATTCCATTTCCTAAAGCATCTATAAACCTTTCTGTGCTGAGTCCTGAAATAACCAAGACCAAGACAACATCCACGCTTTGGTTCCTGACCTTAGCGTTAAGGCCCTTATAATACTTGTTCCTCTGTCCTAAGGGTATCCCAGAAGTTTTTGAAATCTCTCTGGTTTCCTCACTGCATTCTGAGTACTCTAGGTTTTGAGGGAAAGAGAAAACATGAGATATTTTTATTTATTGAATTAATTAAAAGTTAAACAAGGTGCTGTTTCCACTTACAGTTAATAGAATGTGTCTTGGGGTTGTAATGTATAACTGACTTATTCTTACAAGGAATGTAGTTGGTTTTTTAAAAATACATTGTTGGGGCTGGGGATGCAGCTCAACAGTAGAGCACTTGCCTAGCATGCATGAGACGCTGGTTCCATCCCCAGCACCAAATAAATTAATTTGATAAAGTTCAGAAAGTATTTCCCTCACTGCTCAAACTCATCACTTCAACCCTTCTGTTATTTGAGCTTTGATATCTAATTCAGTGTGCTTTTGATCGCTCAGTAGATCGTGTGAGGGATTTGATATCTGTCTGAACTCAGTGTCCTCGAGTCACAGTCTGGATGTGGCTTCCCAGGGACAGGGTCCGCCGTTTTTCTGTGCTGGTGAATATCAGAGCCAAGGGAAGTGCCATTAAAACAGTGCCATCAAAATTTGTCTCTGTCGCTCTCTAGCTATGCCATAGCTGACAATGCTTACCGCATGATGTGCTCGGAGCTAAATAACCACTTTATCCTCATTTCTGGAGAGAGCGGGGCAGGGAAGACAGAGGCCTCTAAGAAGATCCTCCAGTATTTTGCAGTGACCTGCCCCATGACCGAGTCACTACAGATAGCCCGTGACCGACTGCTGCTCTCCAATCCGGTGCTGGAGGTAAGTGACCTCTGAGGATCCGTAGAGGGGAATTCTAGGAGATCACCAAAAAGAATCATCTGCCTGAGCAGCGCAGTCAGAATACATAGATCACGGCTGAGAAGAGGGGTCTCACAGGCAGTACGAGTGTTAAAATGACCTCAAAGTAAGATGACAGAGCTGGATTCTGATTCAGCATGCCAAACACGAGCAAGCATCAGCAAGTCTGTCTGAATCCCCAGTGTCTGTCCCTCACCTGCAGAATGGGTCTGCTTCATGGACCTGTCCCTCAAGAGGTTTTGAGGATTAAAGAAAATGAATACTCAAAAAGCACACAGCAGCATTAGTAAGCACTAAAACAATACTTTATTATTTATTAATATTGTTCTTATTTAATTAAAATCACTTTGGTTACTATTATTTCTATTACAATTTACTGGATGATTTTGAGCAAGTTATTTTCTCCTGTTTTTGATGCCTTATCTATAAAGATACTTCTGCTTACAGGAATTTCCCAGGAGACTCTTTGAGCCAAATGATTTAATATAAAAAAGGAGTCTGGGGTTGGTTTGTCAGCTATATCTTGTAGAACAGTTAAGGCCCAGGTATCTTCTCAGGCCATTTCTCATATATTCCTAGGCTGGATTCTAGGAGATGATTTTTCCCTGGGTCCAACTCTAGCATTCAGTGCCCTGAAGCTAGCAAATCCTTGCCACAAGATACATTATGTCTTTCCTCCCCGGCTCCTCCCTCCCTCCTCCATTCTGTCTTTTTTTTTTTTTTCCCCTGTACCAGGAATCGAACTCACGATCTTGCACTTGCCAGGCAGGAGCTGTGCCTCTGAGCTAAATCCCCAGCCATTTCTCCTCCATTCTCATAGAAAGCATATTATTTGGGGTCAGAAATTTAACAAGTTTCTGGGCATTGTGGCACATGCCTGTAATCCCAGCACTTGGGAGGCTGAGGCACGAGGATCGTTGTAAGTTTGAGACCAGCCAGGGCTACGAAGTGAGCTCAAGGCCAGCCTGAACTGCATAGTGAGAGCCTGTCTCAAAAAGATGAAAGAAAGAAATTTAACAAGTATGGTGAGCTTAAATGATAGTGAATGACACTTTGTTTTCCAAGGCTTTTGGAAATGCCAAAACACTCCGGAATGACAACTCCAGCAGATTTGGAAAATACATGGACATACAGTTTGACTTCCAGGTACTCTGAAATTCCTAATACTGGTTCTTAAGGATCCCTTGTTTGGCCAGTGATAGAAACCAACCCAAGGCATCTTAAGGTGGGAAGGGCATTTTTTGACTCCAACAGCTGAAAAATCCAGGGCTAGTGCTACTTTGAGAAAACGCAAATAAAGACCACAGTCAGATATCACTTTATACCTTCTGGATGGGCAAGAACGAAGAGAATTGGGAATTGGTGAAGCTGTGGACACTGGAATTTATGCAATTTAAGGACAGGTGTATACTGGTGTGACCCATTTGGAAAATGATGGGTTGAACCAATGATATGATGATACCTTGTAAAGTCAGCAACACGTAATCTGAGGTGCAGCCTCTCCACTCCCACAGATCACCCCACAGGTGTGTAAGCATGTCCACAGGCTGCTTATGATGACCAGAAACACCCAACACATTTGGAAAGAACTCAGTGTCTGTGGACAGGATTACAGCCAAACTGTGGTGTGTTCACCCAGTAAGGATTATACAGCAGTGAGCAGATGAACCACAGCTCCGCATAATGTGGATAAATGAGATGTACAATATGTGGCAGTGTGATACCATTATTTATAAAGCCTGAAAATAAAAGTAAACAACATATTGTACAAGTATGCCAACCGATGTAACAAAAACCAGCAAATATTTTTAGACAGGGATAGATAGAAATATTTTAGGCTGTTTGAGCTGTAAAGCTTTGACTGAGACGTCTCATCTCAGCTGTAACACGAAAGTGACCATCAGCAGTGCATGAGGGGATGACTGTGAGTGTGCTATACCCAGAGTGTTAATGGGGCTATTGCACATGGGTAGACAAAATTCTTAAGGACATATTTTCCAAGTGACAAAGTGACCCTTAGCCTAGAGAATAGTAGCTGTCTGAGGCGAGAATGCAGCAATGGCTCAGGGCCTCCTGAGGGCTGGTCTGTAGTCTTCCGTGGTGTGTCCAAGGACTTAGAAATTAGACATTTAATAGCTATGCATATTTTAAAACTTTTAGAGTTAAACATATATCCCAAAAAAGACACAAATCATGAGAACAGCCTCATGGGTATCTACCTATCTAACCACTACTCAGATGAAGATAAAAAATTTTCTAGTATCTAGCAGGTCTTCCAACAACAGCCTACTTTCTAAGGGTTACTACTATAATCACAGATTCATCTTACTGGTTCTTAAACTTCAGATTCCTTCTGGCTTCTTCAATCAAAATTCTACCTGCACGATTTATGCATGTCAGCTGAGTGTGGTGACACGCACTTGTAATCCCAGCACTCTGGGAGACTGAGGCAGGTGGATTCTAAGTGTAAGCCCAGCCCTGGCAACTTAGCAGGACCTTGTCTCAAAATAAAATGTAAAAGGGGGATGAGGAAATAGCTCAGTGTGAAGGTCCTTAGTTCAATCCCCAGTACAGCAAAATAAATAAATGAAAAAGAAAGAGAGAAATTCAACTATGTTGTTGCGTGTAAGAGTGGTTAGTTGTTTAATTGTACAGCTACGGGGCTGGGGATTTAGCTCAGCAGCACAGCACCTGCCTGGCTAGGGGGAGGTCCTGAGTTTGATTCCAGGTCACACCCCCTCCAAAACTTGTACAGCTACATAGCAATTTGTCTACTCTTTGATTGGTGGATTTTGCATTGTTTGCAATGGAGGGCTATTAAAAATAGTGCTCTGAACATCCTGGCATATGTCTTCAGTGGGTACAAACACTCATGTTGGGTCTGTACCCACAAATGGAACTCTTGGCTTCTTATCAGCTGTGTTGTGATAATTAATGAGAGCTCCAGTTGCTCTATACTCTAGCTGCCAACATTTGTATGATTAGTCTTTTTAGTTTCAGAAATTCTGGTGGGGTATAACACTTTTTCATTATAATTTAAGTATCTTCCTGATAATGAAGTTTCATTTATTGGACACTTAAAGGTCTTTTTTGCTCAAGTGTTTTGCTCATTTTAATTTGGCTGTTCTTATTGATATATGTTCTGGAAATATATGTTCTAGCAAAAAGCTTATTAGATATATTATGTAAAATAATGATCAATAGCAGAGTGGCACAGCAGAAGCGTGCTGGGCCCATAAAATAATGATCAAGACAGAATGGATGACAAGGAAAGATGAAGAAGCCATCAAACCAGAAAGATCTCCACATATGGGGCTGGGGATTTAGCTCAGTGGCACAGCGCCTGCCTGGCAAGCGCAAGGTTGTGAGTTCGATTCCCAGAAAAAAAAAAGATCTCCACATATACTTGTGACAAAGGCACTACCATGATTCTGTAGGGTTAGGATCACCTTTCCAATAAATGTTGCCAGTCAACTGTATGTCACTGTGGATAAAAGACCTTTGACCCTTACCTAATGCCATACATAAAAATTAATTAGTAATGGACCATAACCCTCAACATAAACAATGAAACACTCAAACACAGAGAATACCTTCATGATCTCCAGAGATTTTGCTTTAGAGGGCAAAAATCTTTTAAAAACAGAACCCAGGAAACATGAATCATAGAAGATTGGTAGATTGGACTTAGTTCAAATTAAAAATTTCTGGCTTGATTGTTATTGTCATTGCCCCGTTTTTATTCTGTTTTGAAGGGCATTCCCGTAGGTGGGCATATCATCAGTTACTTGATAGAAAAGTCCCGAGTCGTCTATCAAAACCAGGGTGAGCGGAATTTCCACATCTTCTACCAGCTACTAGCGGGTGGTGAAGCGGAGCGCCTCGCTTACCTGGGACTTGAGCGAGACCCCCAGCTGTATAAATACCTCTCACAGGTTGGAAGGACCAGCCCCTGGCTTTTGGCCCTTGGGAGGTGGGGACCAGGGGTGTTTGTGGAGGTGCCTATAAGATGTTAGAGAGCTTTTGGTTTCCACTCTGGATGTATCCTCCTTATCACAAGCAAGCTAACCTGTCTCCTTTTATTCCTGACAGCTGTGTCATCTGGTTAAGCATCCCAATGTCTAGGCAAATGGTTCTCAGGTCTGGCTGAAATTAGAATCACTTGAGAAGTCTTTTAAAAACCCAGATGCCGGGGCTGGAGAACAGTTCAGTGGTAAAGCACTTGCCTAGCATGCACAAGGCCTTGGGCTCAGTCCCCAGTATTATAAACATGACTAACACAGATGCCTCTGGAGATTTGGTTTCAGTGGATCTGAGATGAGACTTGAGCATCAGAGTTGTTTTAAATGTTTCCCTAGGCTAGGAGTGTAGCTCAGTGGTAGAGCACTTACCTAGGCGCTGGTTCTGGAGCCCCAGAACCACTAGCCAAACAAATTCCCTGGTGATTTAGTGTGCAGTTAAGGTGAGAACTGCTGGTCTAGATGTGATAAAAACTCACTCTGTAAAGACACTGTTTAACAACCCAGTCCTAGTGACCAGGTCCTTTAAATTATTTGGTTGCTAAATGAGGAACTGTATATGGTATATAGATCACAAGATTCAGAATAAAAAAATAGTCAAAGGAAACGCCAACTTGATGACTTTTTATAACTCGTACCTGCAGTATTATAATGTAGAACAGAACATAAAACCACACTACTATACAGGACAATCAGCAAAAAGACAGTACTGTGTAAACAGGGTGTACAGTACCAAAAAAACTTAAGATTCTATCAATAAGATGTACAGAACTGTACCAAAAAAAAAAGGCTGTAAATCTGAGCTGGGTGATAAGTCTGAACAGCGTGCCTCCGTCTTAAGTCTGAACAGTCATTAAGCAAGTAGGTCAATAACCCAGCAATATCTTTACTCACAGCCTATGCTGCTTTGATCTTCTTTCAAACCACTCTTGAAAAAACCTTTACCCACCACGCTGCCTATCATCTTGAGAATTCTTAGCTTCAAAATGAATGTGCTACCTCATAGAAATAGCTCAGGTCATTCCTATAAGCAACTCTAGGATTTAGTAGTATAAAAATGACTTTTAGAATTTAACTTTACGACATTAATTTTTCTGGAGTCTGTGGTAGGGCCTGAGAATGCCCAGGTTGTTTGGGTAATATTTGATGCTTCTAGCACTTTTTTGCCCCAAGATTATTTTATTTTTCCCTTCTCCCTGGGCCTGGCTTTGAACTTGCAGAGCACAGTTTGGAGCAGAGAGTGAGAGTGACAGAAAGCAAGACAGAGAGAGAACAAAACCTCACAAAGTCAATCTCAGAAAAGAAAGACACCTATTTCATAGAAATCTTTAGAAAGGAGGCTTGACAAAATTTTACCTTTAAAAACAAAGCTAAATAATAAGAAAAAAGAATTTCATAATCTTATTTTTTACTTAACAAGCCTTAAACTAATTCCTGGAACAAGGAACAGATCATTTTGTTTTTGGTGGTGGTCGTGGTGTGTGTGTGTGTGTGTGTGTGTGTGTGTTGCTAGGTATTGGAGTCAGGAAGTCATACATGTGAGGCAAGTAAGTGACACTGAGCTACATCCCCAGCATCACCAGTCCTTTTTTTTTTTTTTTTTGTCTCTATCATCTTAATACGGGGTCTCACTAAGTTGCCCAGGTTGGTTCCAACTTGTGATCCTCCTGGCTCATCCTTCCGAGTAGCTGGGATTACAGGTGTGCTCCTCCATGCACAGCTGATTTATTGTTTTAGGGGCCCAATTTTTCCAACAAATATGTATGATTCCATCACGTTTGAATTTTCAAAGCATCATCAGTGAGGATCAATTTCTAAAAATATTTGGGGGCATCATTTTCCCAAAGGCTTCTCTAGGCCCTGGACAGTCTAATCATTCTCTTCAGGAATATGCCATATCCTGATTCTTCTAGAGCATTTCTAGCCACATTAGTTCAGCCCAATCCTGATGTCTCATTGGCTTTGGAAATAGTTCTAGCAATTTTCCAGTATTGGATTTTTTTTTTAAATCAATTTCACAATGTCCTATGACTTTGGCAAAATGTATGGCTTTACTTTGTAGTATTCTGCATTGTCGCCAGTCCAGAGATGTTAGAGAAGGTCTGACCTGCACAAACCTTCTTCTAAGGGGGCAGCAGTAAGCGTTGCTGGTGTGGGAAAGGACACGGTCATCCCTCAGTATCCACAGGGGCTTGATTCTAGCACACCAAAATCTAAGAGATGCTCCAGACACTAATATAAAATGGCAAATAGCCAGGCATAGAAGTGCATGCCTGTAATCCCATCATTCTGGGAAGCTGAGGCAGGAAAATGGCAAGTTTGAGCCCAACCTGCACAGTTTAGTTACTTAGTGAGACCCCGCCTCAAAATAAAAAATAAAAATGGTTAGGGATGTAACCCTAGCATCAGTGCTGCATCCTTGGGTTCAAGCCCCAGCACCACAATAAACAAACAAAATGGCAAAATATTTATATATAACCTCTACACCTCCCGTATATTTTACATAATACATAATACAATGTATTAATATACATAATACAATGTAAAGGCTATGTAGATAGTTGTTATGCTATATTGTTTGGGGAATAATAATAAGGAAAAAAGCCTGCACATGTTTAGTACAGACATATTTTTTCAAACATTTTCAGTCCATGGTTGAATTGAAGTATGTGGAATTCAAATTGAGGACACGGAGGGCTGACATGTGATACTGTAAATTTTAGGCCAGCTGATTCCCTGGTGAATATTTTCACAGCATGAAGCCTTTACGTGCTCCGTGCAACAAAGACCTTTTAAGATAACAGTCTTTAGATAATCAGGATGCTGGGAACTCCCTGTATCACAAGATAATAAAAAACATTTGTCTAGAACGTTTTTTTCTCTTTAAATTGTGAGGCCAATACGTCTGTTACTTGTTTAGCAAACAACTTCCAACTTACTTAAAAGTCTCGTCACATCTCTGCTGGTGATCATTTCCATATAATCTGTGTTTCTCTAAAAGCCAGTCTGCTCTTTCCTTGGTTGAGGCCTCCCGCCATCTGGTCCTGCAGAGATTCCTGAAGGGGGTGGAGACCATTTTCAGAATTTAAGCATCAGAATTTCCCTCCTTATTTCAACAGCACAAGGTTTCGATTTATTTAGCAAAAATAACAAGGAAACATATCTAACAACACAGAAAAAGATATATTCTGCTACTATATAACTGTATAAGTTTTCTCAGAACAGAGATTAAAAATAAAACTCCAAATAAATTTGGAGAAGCCAGAAGTTGGCAAATTATCATGTGCTAGCCAGAGTAAACCTATGTGTTTATAATCCAGTGCATTATAGAACCAGCTTTTGCATGCTTGTGGAGAAAAACAGTTTTATTTACAATACGTGTGCGCATGCTTAACTGTCCTTAAAGTAAGTGAACCAATTTTATCTCAGGGTCACTGTGCCAAAGAATTATCTACTAATGACAAGAACGACTGGAAAACTGTTTGCAATGCCTTTTCTGTCATTGATTTTACAGAAGGTGACCTTGAGGTAAGGCTCCTGGGGTTCTCTGTGGAACTAAGGAAAAAATCCTGGAAGCTTGGAGTTTGTATTGTAGGGTTATCAAACTCAGCAAACGAAATTAGAGGACATTCAGTTATATACGCATTCCAGATAATTTTTTAGTAAAGCCTAATATTGCATATGGACAAAAAAAGGACTTAAAAACTTATCATTGCTTATTTAAATTCAAATAATAACTGAGGATTTTGTATTTTTGTGTCAAGCTTAATTTTTTCCAGTATGTGTACAAGGAGGAGCTGCTGTGATTATTCCTCCAAATTAAGTCCAGTCTCAACAATTTAGATCTCATACAATTATGGCATTATTGTTTAGTTACACTTCTGTTTTAGAATAAATGGGCGCAAATTTGTAGGCTTAATAAACATTTTGTTCTTACATCTCTCTCTCTTTTAATTGTTAAACTATTAATATTTCAGGAACCAGAATATAGTTTAAAATATATGCTTTGTACCTAAGGTCATGGTCTTTTGAGAACTAAGGAGTTTACTTATGGGGTTTATTTATTTATTTATTTATTTTTAACATATTTTTTGAGACAGGGTCTCGCTATGCAATTCAGGCTGGCCTTGAGCTCACTTTGTAGCCCAGGCTGGTCTCGAACTCCTAACGATCCTCCTGCCTCAGCCTCCTGAGTGCTGGGATTACAGGCGTGCGCCACCACACCCAGCTATGGGGTTTATTTTATAAAATATTTTCACTACATATTTTACAAAAGTGGTTCATTGTATGAAAAATAAATACAGTCATTTATATTTTTGAGATGTGAAAATAAAAATATTTAATGCTGGAGACTGAATGGGGCCTCTGGGAAGGCCCTTCCCCTTCCCTTGCTGTTGGAAGTGAGTAGGGAGCCACTCTCTGGGGGAGGCGGAGGCCTTGGTTCTGAGAGATGCAGCTGGAGTTCCGGAGAGAGGGGTTTTCCTTCCGGCGTCTCTGCTGATTCCATTTATCAGTGAGGTGGCTGCTGTCTTCCTTCCCTGTCCTCCTGTCCTCAGCCTGACTGTATTCCATGTTCCTAGAATCTCTTTGGGATTATTGCCAGTGTCCTACACCTGGGGAACGTTTGTTTTCAAGAAGATGACCAAGGCTGTGCCGCCATCCCGGACACCCACGAGATCAAGTGGATCGCCAAGGTGATGTTCCCTTTGGAAGGGCCAGAGGGAGTCCAGGGGCCAGGAGAGGGTACCGAGGCCCCTGGACACCCACAGTTAGGTGTAGATGGCCAGCTCCACGTTTTTCAGTGACGCTGGCCAGGAGGCTTTGCGAGCACTGGCTGATCTAGCCAGGTCCATTGTGCCTCAAAGCACGGGGTCACCGTCAGGACTCATCACCGAGGTCTGGGGACCCCACAGCCTCATTATCACTGAGTAAGTAAAACCAAGTCCCTGAATGATACCTCGGATCCCTTTTGTTCAGCTCCTTGGGGTCTACCCTTCGGTTCTTCTGGAAGCTCTCACCCACAGGAAGATTGAAGCCAAAACAGAGCAGGTAAAAATGGCAGCTGCCTCCCCACCATGGCTGCCTCCCTCGGCTAACAGCATGGTGGTAGCCTTCAGGGAAGCCACGCCCTTGAACCTGGCCCTCCATGCCCTAAAGGGCCCGGCTCCCACAGGGTCTCCTGCCTCTTCTCCCATGGCCATCACCACCACACACTGCTGGAACTTCCTGATCAGACTGACCGCCTCCTCCCTCCATGGAGTCTTTGCACTTGCTGTTCCTCCTGTTGGAAAACTGTTCCCCGCGCTCATCCAGCTAACTTCATCTTTCGGTCGCAAGACCCGTGGAAGGAGGAGCCTGCCCCCACCATCCCACAACTAACTTAAAGTTCCATATATATCTCAACCTGGGACACCACAGCCACAGGAGAAATACCTCCTGGGTGACCAGTGCAGTCAAGCATGGCGTCTCCCCCAGCCATGACCTCTGCTTAGTCATCATGAAAGCCCAGCTTGAGAACTTGGGGGACTCCTCTTCCTTCCGTACCCACGCACCTGGTCCTTCTCCGCAGGTCATATGCCCGCTGACACTCGAACTCTCTGTGTACGCCAGGGATGCGATGGCTAAGGCTGTTTACGGAAGGACATTCACGTGGCTGGTCAACAAAATCAATTCCTCCCTAGTTAACAAGGTCGGTCAGGCATTTTGGATGACTTGCTCTTGCAGTGTATGGTAATGTTCTGTCACCATCCTGGTCGATTTAAGAATTTGTGAGCCTGGACTACATGCTCCTCATGGGCAGGCATGGTGTCTTAGGCTTGTTTGTCGGTTGGTTGATTGGTTGGTTTGGCCATACTGAGCACCGAACACGGGGCCTTTGCATTGAGCTACACCCCCAGCCCTCTCTTCAGTTTTAATTTTGAGACAGGGTTTTGCTGTGTTGCTAAATTGCTCAAGCTGGGCTCAAACTTGCAATCCTCCTGCCTCAGCCTCCAAGTGTGCTAGGGTTACAGGTATATGGGAGGTGATGTCTTTCATGTCCACATTTCCAGTGTCTCCCATGCAGTGAGCTCCCGGGAATGCACACCAGTTGACACATGTGGCATGTCCCAATGCATGGTGTGCACAGTATTTGTGGTGTGATTGGTGGGTGGTTTTCGGCGTACACAGGAATTTTTAACAGGAGTATGTTTTATTCACATTTTTTATGGTATTGGGGGTTAAAGCCAGGTGGCACTGACCTATATCTTTAGGCTTTTTTATTTTGTATTTGTAGTTCCCCACCCTTTCTTACTTTTTATTTTGAGACAGGGTCTCACTAAATTGCCCAGATTGGCCTCAGACTTGGTATTCTCCTGCCTCAGCCTCCCAAGTAGCTGAAATTACAGGTGTACACCACCATATCAGGCTAACCATGTATATTTTAATGTGTCATTAAATCCATAACTAGCCTCTCGAACTCATGCTTGGATCATGTTTCCTTTTTAAGCAGAATTCTTTGAATAAAAGAGAGTTTATTTGAAGCTACACATTGAGGAAATGACTCTTATGCATGAGGAGGTGGCAAAACTCATAGACAGAAGATGTGAAGGACAGACCCAGGGAAGCAGCCACTCTGAACACTCACACAAAAGAGTCCACTGTGACTCTTTAAAAAAAAAAAAAAGCACATTATTTGTCTTAGTTCATTTTTTGTTGCTATAACCAAATGCCATAAACGGGGTAATTTATACAAAGTAGAAGTTGCTGGATTGCAGTAACACTCAGTTGTAATCCCAGCTACTCAGGAGGCTGAGGCAGGAGGATCTCAAGTTCTAGCCCAGCCTGGGAAACTTAGCAAGACCTTGCTTCAAAATAAAAAAATAAAACTGGCTGGGAGTATGGCCCAGTGGTACAGCCTTGTCTAGTATGTGTGAGGTCCTGGGTTCCATCCCTAGCACTAGAAAAAGGAAAAGTTTATTTAGCTTAGGATTCTGGAGGAGCAGGGACACAGCATGTGTTAGCTCAGGCCTCCCTTCTTTTTCTTATAAAGCCACCAATGCCATGATGGGGGTGCCACCCTCATGACCTCGTCTAACCCTTACTGCCTCAAAAGCCCCACCTCCAAACACAAAGGGCATATGAATTTGGGGTGAGGTTTCTAACATATGGACTTCTGGGAGACACAGCACAAGCATAGCATGATCGTTCAGTATCCGTCCTTGCCTGACAGCACTTGGTCCCTGTGAAATGACACCCACACTGCCTGTCCCATCTTCTGGATGAGCAGCCCCTTGCCTGTTGATCCATCTTTCCCTCTTCTCTTTTTAGACTGAATGTGGGCTTTGCCAGCTAAAGAGATCTGAAACAAAGACATGAATCAGGAGGGGAAGGTGTCACTACCCAGGTGACAGATAGGAAAGCCGCAGTGGGACTGAGGCAGGCCTCAGGCCCCTGAAGGTTATCCTGTGAGCCACTGTGGAGGAAAAAACCAAGTGACAGCTTTGGGGGAAGTCATAAGGTTTTGAGTGTCACAAAGTTTAAAAATAACCCTAATGAATGAGTCCATTTCCTGTTACTATAATGACATGTTGGAAGCTGGGTGACTTTCTGAGGAAAAGAGACACAGTTAGCACATGGTTCTGGAGGGTGGAGAGTGTGCAGTGACAATGCCCTTCTTGCTAGCAGAACCCTGAGGCAGCGCAGGACAGCACATGACAGGGGACAGGGAGCACACGTCCTCGCGTCTTCTTGTCTCTCTTCTTGTAAAGTGCCAGGATCAGATCATGGGGCTGTTTTCTGATGATCTCACCCAATCCCCTAATCACCTACAAACTGCATAGGTGAATTAAATTTCCCTCCACTGGACACCTCACCGTGGGGTTAAATTTCAACATGCCAGCCCTCAGGGGCTTAGACACATGCACAACGTCCGAGCGCCAGCACACTCATCACTCCTGCTGTGTGTTGTTTGACTAGGATTGCACCCAAAAAACTGTGATTGGATTGCTGGATATCTATGGGTTCGAAGTCTTCGACAAGAACGGGTGAGTTTGGCCATGTTCCACCCGCCCGTCCTTTGCCCCTGCTTCGTGGTTTCAGTCAAAGTTTAAGTCATCTATAAGTCATCCCATTTCCTGTTTAGGAAAAATAAAAAAAGTGCCACTTGTGGCCAGCATTCATCTAACTTGCAGTGATGAAGAATTACTGTATTTTATATTTATTTATTTATTTTTGTCTTTTTGAGACAGAGTCTCACTATGCAGTTCAGGCTGGCCTTCAGTTCACTTTGTAGCCCAGGCTGGTCTCGAACTTGCAACAATCCTCCAGCCTCAGCCTCCCAAGTGCTGGGATTACAGGTGTGCGCCATCACGCCCGGCAGGATTACTGTATCTTATAAAGAGAAATGCCACTACTAAAACCAAATTCTATAAATAGAATAAAGTTTTTTGTTTCCAAAGACTATCCATATAGTAGAGCAATGTGAAAAGAATGGAAAAGTTTTCATGGAAAACTCTGAGGGCAAGGCTGGGACTGTGATCTGGGAGTCATCCTGGGATAAACACCGAAGCCCCAAGTGCCGCCTGTAAGTATTCTCAGGGCAATTGAGATATGGGTTAATGTTACCGAAACTGATTTTCCTACCCCTAGAAATTCTCCAGCTCCTCGTGCACAGCCTGTTCTGGAAGTGGAATAACCACTTAAAAAGTGAACAGAAGCCCAGTGTGGTGGCGCACACCTCTAATCCCAGCCTTCTGGGAGACCGAGGCAAGAGGATCCCAAGTTCTAGCCCAACCTGGGCAACTCAGTGACTTAGCAAGACCTTGTCTCAAAATACAAAATAAAAAAGGGCTGAGGATGTAGCCCAGTGCAAGAGTCCTGGGTTCAATCTTTGGTACTGAAAAAAAAAAAAAAAGTGAACATATTTCAACTTCACTCTCCCAATTTATTTAGTAGATTATCTTACTAATAACAACTGTGTTTTTTTCTTTATTACAAATCATCCTTAAAAAATGTAAATGAATGCAATTTTGGAGAACTGGCCCATTTGCATACTTCCCGCTATTTCATCCCCTTGCATCTCTAGTTTTGAGCAGTTCTGTATAAATTACTGCAATGAGAAACTCCAGCAGCTATTAATAGAGCGGACTCTGAAAGCAGAGCAGGCCGAGTACGAAACGGAAGGCATCGAGGTAACATTCTGACGTTTGCTCCTTGTTTGATTACTTAATCTGGCCGGAGACGTTCCCTTGAGCAATCTTGTTTCCCTGGTAGTGCTCCCGATCAGCGTGAAGGACTATTTTTCAGTCCCGTCTGCTTATTTTGATAGAAAGGCTCTTCTTTAAAAAATTAGGTATCAAGATCAGATTTTGAAAACAAACGTTTAGAAAATCGTTTGGAAAGCAGTGTCCTTCATGCTCGTTTACCCTCTTCGTGGAGAATGCCTTCCTCTTTGTCATTTTAGTGGGAGCCGATTCAGTACTTCAACAACAAGATCATCTGCGACTTGGTAGAAGAGAGACACAAAGGAATTATATCCATTCTGGTGAGAAAACAAATGTTGACCTAGAGCCCAGTTGCCCGGCAGGTGTTCACAGCATGGGGAAGAACTTCTTCCAGGCTTCAGCAGGGCTGACTGGGGCCCAGGAGGGTACTGAAGGGCGCACACTGAGCTTTCTTGCTGAGCTCTTGCTTGGAACTCTATGTGGAGCTTTCTCCTCCCTTGGAGATGCTTAGGCCTAAATTATAGCCCATGGGGCAGCAAGAACAACCTCTGAAGCATAAGTGTGCAGGTCTGTCTTCCGTTCCATAGGCCTGGGGACCCAGGTTAGGCAACCGTTTGGTGGCCGCTGTGTCTGGATATGGCTTGCTCCCCCAAGGGTTCTCACGTAGGGAATTTGGGGTTCAGCGTGGTGATGCTGGCATGTGGAGAAACCTTTAAGAGAGAAGACTTAATGGGAAACGATTAGATCGTTGGGGGTGCTGTCTTCAAAAGGAATGGATGTAGTTCTTGCAGGATTCTGGTTAGTTCCATTCTCAGGCATTTTGTTGTAATAACAGAGAGTGGAGAAACACAGTGGCCATTGGAGAGGGGCTGCTCTCACGCTTAGTACACCCAGGAAGCACCTTGAGAAGGTTGCTACAAAAAGAGCAAATCTGGCTGGGTGTGGTGTGCATGCCAGTAATCCCAGCATTGTGGAAGGCTGAATCAGGAGAGTTGCAAATTCCAGCCTAGGCTCAGCAACGTGGTGACTTAGCTGGAGAACCTGTCTCAAATAAAAAGTAATAAAGGCGTTAGGGTGTAACTCAGTGTGAAGACCCTGTATTCAATTCCCAGAACCAAAATAATAATAATTAATAATAATAATAAATTAAAATAATAATAGTAGTAGTAATAATAATAATAGCCACAGGCCTGACCCCTCCCCAGCCTTTCTTTGGCTTCCTGTGCCACTGGGATGCCATCCAGAGCTGAGTAGTGGCTGGCACCCTACCCTTAGACCTGCAGAACTGGGAGCTAACTAAACCTCTTCTTTACCAAGTTCCCAGCCTCAGGCATTTTGTTATAATAACAGAGAGTGGAGGAACACAGTGGCCATTGGAGAGGGGCTGCTCTCACGCTTAGTACACCCAGCAAGCCGGCACACACAAGGGGAGGCTTTGCAAAAAATGTCAGTTGAATTGGAGATGAGGCTCCTTGGAATGGGCTTGTGATTGTGTTTTGAACTATTGCAGTTTATGAGAATATCAGTGTCCTCAAATCCACAATTGATTGAATTCAATATCAATGTTTAAAATATATTCTAAAGGCAAACAAGAAATTATTACCTTGCTTGTCCGTTGGGGTTATCAACGCCACTGTTTTCCTCCCTAGTAGTGAAAATAGTTGGTCCCTTTTCCCTCCTGACCTCATCATACCCCTTCACAGCCACCAGCTACCCTGAGAACCCAGCATACTAAAGCACGGCAGGGACATGAAGGGTGGTGACGGTTGTTGTTACAAACGTGAGCATCACCTGTGTAACATTAGCCAGGGGGCTTAACCTCTCTGCGCTCCATTCTCACCTTTGAATGGGTGCAGGGATAGCAGCGCTGCTCAGAGAGGAGCTGCGGGGCCCAGGGGAGATCATACACTCAGAGTGCATGGAACTACGCCTGGCCTGTGGCAAGCATTCACCCTCTGTTCATCCCACAGATGCTTATTTTGGGCTTATTCTGTACCAGAATTGTACCTTGTGCTTTGGGGCACAGCCGTAAGGAAGACAGATGCAAACTCCCACCCTCAGGGAGCTTTTAAGTTCTTACTTTGAGAGCCAAACAGCAGGCAGCCTACTGAGGGAAATGTATAGAATGTGCTACTGAGAAAAAGTGGAAAAGGAAGATTCTTTGGGCAGGAAGTGAGGATGGGGCTCCATTTTAGGAAAGGTTGGAGGCACTCTCTGAGAAGGTGGCATTTGAGCAGAGACCTCGAGGTGGTGAGAGCAGCATGTGGACATCTTGGGAGAGGACATGTTCCTGGAAGCACTGGGCGACGTAAGCTGGCCCACAGCCACTCGGCGTCCTCGTGGCTTGCTACTCTTGGCCTTCAAAACATGTTAATAATAAACGCCTGCTGCATTTGGTTTCCACGTGGAAATGCACTGCATATAAGTTGTCTCATCAACCTGTGACTCAGACCTCTGCTGTTTTTTTAACAAAAGCTAGAGGGTTGATTTATTTATAATTTTTCAAGGTGGTCAATTAAGTGGTGTCGTTGTGGACTAGATGGAGGAAACAGGCACAGCTTATGAAATATGAAAAGTCAGTCTCCATAGGTTTTATAGCCTACTTTCCAGGAAGACTTTGGTCCTAGTGCAAGGGGTCTACGTGCATGTGGCTCTTGTTGGTTAGTAATGACTGGTTAAGAGAAAGTGAGGTTGAATCTTTAAGTATAGTAGCCATGGCAACTGGGGGGATCCATGGCAACTGGGGGAATCCTTGGCAACTGAGGGAAAACTTCGAAAATACATGAGTCAGAGGTCTGGGAAAGTTGACTGTTCATGGAGTTTTCTTTCCCTCTGATGCCCCCTGGCACAGATCTAGGAAGCTGAACATGTGTCGTAGGGAGCCCTTTCCTCCCCAGCGGCTCTCCTGAACTCATGAAAGATGCCAGCATTTTAGTCCAGGACCTTTTGCCACTGCTGGCAGAAGCATTTAAATTTGGATTTGATCAAGAAGTCTCTTTTCTCTTCTGAAGGATGAAGAATGCATCCGCCCTGGTCCTGCTACAGACTTGAGTTTCTTGGAGAAACTAGAAGAGAAAGTGGGCAAGCACGCACACTTCCAGACGTAAGTGCTTCATTTGACAGGCTGCTGAGGGAGGGTCCCTGTGCTCTTTGATTTGTGCCTCAAAGTATAACTATTTCTTCATACCTAACAATATCATGATGATATACCAACTCATGTTGTAGCAGAAACTCCCTCTTCCCCCTACAGCCAGTATACTTCAGTTTGTTAGGTGCCCAGGTAACAGTTCCTGTTCCACTTCTGGTTGCTTCTGTCTCTTAGAAACGGCTGGTCACTATGATGCACATTGTGTAAACCAAACCCCAAATGACAAGCCACTCTGCCTCTGTACTTCCTGCTTGCTTATCACTGGAGATCGGGGTCTGATATTCTGGGAATGATCCCTATCAGTGCCCATCAACACAAATAAATCTGCCTCCAAATCCTGGGTGTCATTTTGGTGTTTCTGCTTGCCTTTGCATCTGATGCGTCAGCCAGGTAGACTGACCATGGTGACCTCTTTGGTCAGTGGTTGTGGCCTTCATGGATGGAGCAAGAACTTCTCCAGGTCCCAGTGAGAAGGAATACCCTAGAGATTTCTTGAGTCCCCTCAGAAGTCTGGAGGAGGATTCCTGGTTCCCTGCTTAAGCGGCTCACATCAGACCCGCTCAGTGGCTCCCAAAGGGAGGAGGACACAATCTGTCTGTCTGTCAGTCAGTCTGTCTGTCAGTCTGTCTGTCTGCCTGTCAGTCTGTCTGCCTGCCTGCCTGCCTACCTGCTTCTGGTAAGACCTCCAGGGGCACCCCAGTTAGTCTGTCAGTCCTGCTCAGCTTGAGAAGAAGAGCTTGATCAACTCCTCTTAGCTAAGGCCACCCTCAAGGGAAGGGGGCGTTGGAACATTTAACCTCCGAGTGCCTGCTGAATGATTGTGTGAATGAGTGGAATGGACAGTGTAGGCAATAGGTTGCTCCATCTGTGCACTAAGACTGGGAAGCAGTGGTCACAGTGGCTGATGGGGCCCTCACCTGCGGTTCCATGGTAATCGACATATAGCATAATGGAGGCCTCACACCCTCCTTAGCTAAGTTGCAATTATGTCCCTTCAAGGGGATTGGCCAGATGGGCATCTGAATGGTCTCTCTCTGAGGGCACCCACCCGTTGTCTGTTGCACCACTATTCAAGGGTGCACAACGTCACTGTAGGGAGATAGAATGGGAACTAGTTAGTTAAAACCCACAGTCCCTGACTGCAGGGAAAGGGGCTTTTGCAGAGTTAAAAATGAAACCAAACTTCTCCATGCATCTCAAAGAAAAAAAAAGGAAAAAGGGGGCCACTCTTCCTGAGAATTCTGCCTTGGCACAATCGTCGGCCACCCCAGTTGCTGCCAACACCTACAGCTTTACTCCCTGCTCTTGACTCATCTACTTCCAGCCAATTGAACTGGTTCCAGCTAGCTGTTGCCTGCATCTGACCACAGAGGCCCTCCCTCCAGAGCCTTCCACACCTATCCTGGTCAGATGGCGTCGTCTAACACCCACCCAAAATGATTGCAACAATTCCTTCTGAGTTCCACATTTCGACTGAGGAAAAATTAAACTGTCCCCCCTGACAAATGAGTTGCACCCTGTCATGCCTGAATAGATAAGACTCTGTGAAATTGGGCCCTGAGAGCCTGCAGTCATTGCAAAAGTCAGGGGCAAACCTGTGACTTTCCTGGTAGACAATGAAACAGACCTCTCTGCCTTCAAAAGTTCCCTCTATCAAAAAGTTACCATCACCAGGGCAACCGGGACCCTTGTCTCTCACCCCTTCTACCAGGCATGAACTTACCAGCTGGAAGGACATCACACCAAGCCAGTCAGCCTCCCTCTCATTTAACCCTGCACTTTCAACTTTGACTGTTCCCTGAGAGAAAGATGATGCTTGCATCAGCCTGAAACAGATAACTGCAGTCGTGAAGTTCTGGAAACTCTCCTCCCCGAGGTACATACTAAAGACTCACCTCTGGGTCTGGCCATCAACCATGCCACCTCACCTCGACCCCCGTTGCTGTCAGATGTCACAGGAAACACAAACAGGTATCCAGCCACATATCAGCCTGATGGACTGCTAATCATGCTGATCTCCGTACTGTCAACAGCGCAGCTACCACCTTACATTCTGCAGTTCCCAACCCATGCACCTTTTTTGGGCTGTTACTCAGTTGCCATAAGGGTTGGGGAATTCTCCCACTATTTTCAGGGAGGCTCTGACAACAGATTTGGCCACTCTGAGACAGCCTGTTTCTCTGTCCCTTTGTGCTCCACAGTTGTCACTGTAAACTCCAACCTGGGGCAATCCCCACCTGCATCAAACAATATCCCATGCCACAGCTGACTCGGCTAGAAATTCAACCACACATCCATAGTTTTCAAAACCGCACTGCTGAAATACACCTCTCCTGCTTATAAAGCCATTTCAAGATCTCCGAGCTGCCAGTGCCACCACAATTGCCCTCTGTGTATGTTGCCTCAGTCTTCTGCCACCCACAGGCTGCTGGCAGACCTGTGTGGACCTAAAAAATGCCTTCTTCTGCCTTTGGTTGGCCCCTGTCAGCCAGCCCTTCTTCACAAAGACCCCAGTTCTGGACTCAAAAGCCAACTGACCTGGTCTCAACCTTCCAGAGATTCAAAAACTTGTTTCCTTTTCACTGCACTTGATTGATGACACCCAAGCTGCCTGCTGGAAAGGCGCAAAAGCTCTGCTACAACATCTGGCAGGAACTGTTTATAAGAAAGAAACTGCACATTTCTTAGAGCTGCTAGTTCCTATAAAGTCTGGATCTTTGAGTTCACAAAAGCAATGATGTGTACTCACTGTCAGCCCCTGAGAGCAGTGAGTGGTCTACCTGTGCAGATACTTGGATTTGGTCACTACGGGCTGCCTCCCCACCTTGCCTCCACGCTCTAATAGCCACTGTCCTTCTGATCTAGAAAGCTGAAAAGCTCACCTTAGACTGAGACCTAACTGTCCAGGTGCCACATGCTGTACTGGGATCAAGTGTTCTAAAAGATAGACCCCCTGACAGATGCTGAGTGCTGATAGGTTCCCGTCCAGCCCTGAACACAACTTCCTTTTACCCTCCCAACACGCGAGAGGGAAGCCCCAATCAACTCCTAACACGTCACTGTGCCTGCCCCTCAAGTTCCGCCTCCAGCCAGAGTCCTCATAAACCCCCAGCCTCTTTTGTCTACCTCAGAGGAGCCCTGTGCTACATGCAATCCTCTCCTCTCTGGGTCCAGAGTAAAGGCCTTCTTCCCGCTCTGTGTGTTTCTTCTTCTGCACCAAAAACCTAACAAGTGCACCCTGTTTACAGATAGAAGTAGCTCTGTTAGGGATGAAGTCCAACAGGCTAGATGTGCTGTGGTCACCTTAGACAAAACTATTTTGGCCAAAACTCTCCTTAATGGATGATCTGTACAGCAAACTGCCTCCTGCTGCTGTTTGGAAACCTGCCAGCAATGATGCAAAATAATCCAGTCCAGAGCCCCCTCCAGGGATTCAATTGACAGAAACATCAGCCCCAACCAGGAAAACCTTAACTAGTATTCCTGGAGGATCAGAGCCAGACCTACCTCCACTGTTTGTTGTGACAGCTCAAGCCACGGTGCTGGCACCTGAACCTCTATAGCCAGCTCAGGCTTCAGCATCTGTGTCACTGGCCCTGACCTCATGCATTGTAATGGACTCTCCCTATTTAAAGATATATGGATAGATTACACAAAAATAAAACGTAACCCTACAGAAACAGCTGGTAACCAGTTAAAAGACCAGCTATATATATATATCTGTACACATTTCTGCACACACATATAGCCCAGGTACATATTAACTACCTCTACAAGCTTCAGAAATCCAGCCTTAGATCTGCTGGAGAATTTCCCTGGACAGCTCCTTCAAGGCTCACTCTGAAGAGACAATGCACTCAAAGCCCTGCTCTGGATGCTGACCAGTCCATGCATGGCTGAAGCCTCAGGACATCATTCACAGGATTGTTCCATACCTATTCCCCTTGATTTTTGTGTCTTTTTGGGCTGCTTACCCCAGTCCTTTCTTTCCTGACCCCTTGCTAGCTGTGATTTTTGTTAATTGATCTGGATTCTGCTTATCCTGGTCCTTGGTTCCCCACCCCTGCTAGCTGTGTTTTTTGCCTTAAACTCTGTAGACAGTTGCCCCAAGAGAACAGAACAATCAGTCAAATACTTGACCAAGATTTGATGAGCATCGAAGACACACTGGACACTCTCCTTGATCAGCTTAACTTCCTCACTACCTTTCCAGAGTAATGTTATAAAACAGATAGGCCTAAATTATGTCTCTTCCTAAAAAGAAACTTAGGGGGAAACTCTGTAATAAGACAATATTGGGGACCTTGGCTAGGGCCACTGACAACCCTAATGTTACTACTTCTATTTGGGCCTTGTCTCAGAAGATCATGTGTGACATGCCTACTAAAGATTTGCCAGGGAAACCAAAGGTGGGAGGATGTAGCAAAAAATGCGCCCCCCTCCAGCCAGTATACTTCAGTTTGTTAGTTGCCCAGGTAATAGTTCCTTTTCCAGTTCCAGTTGCTCCTGTCTCTTAGAAATGGCTGGTCACTGTGATGCACAGTGTATAAAACAATCCCCAATTGACAAGCCATTCTGCTTCCGTACTTCCTGCTTGCTTATCTCATATAAGCCCTAGACCACCAGAGATCATGGCCTAATATTCTGGGAGTGATCCTGATCTGTCCCTGGGTATCATTTTGATGTTTCTGCTTGCCATTGTAATGTACATGCATACTATTGTTAGTAGAGATAAAACTCAAATGGATTCCAAGTAAGATTGTTTTAAGATTTTGTATCTTGTTTTAGTCAATTATCGTTACATTTTGGGCAGGAAATAGTCTCTCTTACATGTGTATTTTTTATGTAATGAATGTAGATCTGAAATGTACAACTCAGAGAAATTTTATCTTTGTATGTACTGGTGTAATTATCATCCAGATCAAGATATAGAGTATTTAAAGCATCCTAGAAGAGAAATTAGAAATTTAACTTAATTACTGAAGAGGAAATTTAAGAACATATGCTCTGGCCTAGGGGTGTGCATCAGTTGTAGAGCATGCACTTGGTGTGTGAGGGTCTGATTTAGTTCCCAGCACCAAAAAAAAAAAAAAAAAGAAAAAACACAGTTCTGGCATCATAAGGACCTGATTTTGAGGGCTGGGAATGTAGCTTAGTGGTAGTAAGCTTACCACACACAAGAACTAATTGCTCCTGTGTTTGAGCATATATTCCTAATACAATGTCTCTCAAGTATAGAATGAAGTAAAACTCATCTCTGTGATTAGTGGTCAGGTTGTGACGAGAAGGACTCAGGTGAGACAGTGCTCAGGAACAAGTACTATTGTCTCTTGATTTGGATGCAGGTTACATGGGTATGTTTGGTTTGCAAAAATTCATTGAGCTGTACGTGTGCTGCCAACATATGTTACATCTCAAAAATACGTTACTTAAAAATTATGAAACCAGGTGTAGTGGTGCATACCTGTAATTCCAACACTCTGGGAGGCTGAGGAAGGAGGATCACAAATTCGAGCCCAACTTAGTGACTTGGCAAGACTCTATCTCAAAAAATAAAAAAGGCTGGGGAGGGAGCTTAGCACAAAGGCCCCGGAGCCAATTCCCAGTATC